GTTACATTTAAAATTTATATTATTAACGGCTTAACTTGAATTATATTAGCTTTAAAAATGTAAATTTTTGGCAATGTAGTTTCTGCTAGGTTTTGGGTTAAGAAACGCTTTCCAGCAGAAATTAGTGATAATTATCTGTTAAGAAACAAAGCTATTATTGAATCATGAATAAGAAGGTGATACTTTAATAATTCATGCAACACTGCGGCTGTGATTGCAGCAAGAACGAAAGACACAAGATCACGTAAGAACAAGAGAGTGAAAAAAGTCGATTTTTTAGCGGGTTCTACGCCATCTTGTTTCACTGGAAAACGAGCGAAAAGTAAACAAATCAAAGAAAACAACGAAAACCAAAATTAGCCAAAATTATTGTCAGCCACTTTAAACGCACAATTTAGGTAAAATGATGCAACAAAATGCTTTTAAATGTGTTGTCATGTTGAATTAACTCTTCTTTACTTGAATAAAAGTGTAAAATAGTGGTGCTTGTGATGTAAACAAACGCTCAGCTGACGAACCCGCTTTCGCAAACTTTTTTCTCAAAACCAGTTACAAATACAACGTCGCGTTCTTACGTGATCTTGTATTTTTGGTTCATGACTTTGCGTTCAACATTTGCGTTCAACTCAGCGCAGGGTTGCACGAAAAAAAGTTGAATGGCTAAAAATATCAAAATATGAAAAAATATCAAAATATTCGCCATAAAAAGGTGTTTGCATTGTTCAACTTTGCATTCAACTTTTGGTTGAATGGCCTTTCAACTAATCGCTTTCAACAAAGTTGGCCGCCAGCCAACATTTAGCCATTCAACTTTTTTTTCGTGCAACCCTGCGTTGAGTTGAACGCAAAGTTGAATAATGCAAACACTGCTAAAGCAAAACAGACGACACCACCTACGCTACCACCTGTAGTTGATACGTCTTGGGTATTACCGTCCATTCGCAAATATCCATCCAATTAGGAAAGTTGCAATTCTATAAAAGTATCGATACCAGTATCAAATGATGTATCAGAAGCTAAGTATCGTTACAAATATTGGTATTGGTATCGAAAATATTTTATCCTTTTGATACAAAAAATGTTTGTTAATGAAAATTAATAAAAATAAATCTTTAACTGCAGTGCGTATTAAACAACATATAAAAAATGGCTCGCTTTCAACAGAAAATCAGTAAATCTTTCTTTAAATTTGTTCTTTGCACGAAAATTTCAGATTTCTCAAACACAAGTTGCACTTAACCAAGCTTTTGTCAATCTTGATACTTTTCGGCGTAGAAGCAGGTACATAAACATAAATAAAAACAAATCAATGTCGTTACGCTGTATATGTACTGTGTTTATACTGTTTGAATACATTACGATGCCATAAAAGTATCGATACTAGTATCAAATGCGTATAGGAAATAAATTATCGCGCGAACGATAACATAGTCACTAATCAGGAAATATACTTAAATAGAATTCTAGGAAAAATATGGCTTGTATGAAGATGATATTGATGTTATTATGATACATTAAGCGGTAACGAAGGAAATACTCATATATCGTCACCCTATTAGATATCGAATACCGACTTACCCAGTATCGAAACAAAAATGTCGATACCAAGATTATCACACCTATTGCGAGTGTCGACTAATAGTAGATAGCCGACAATTACTCGATTATCGATTTTCCATGGTATTGTGAATTTCGATTTCTCGTTCAATAGGCGACTGTGAATAGTTTTTATCATTCATTCTTCCATAACTGTTTGTTTGTAGATGGAAAAGCGACTACAAACTATTCACACGCACTTATTGAACGCGAAAACGACTTTGAAAATACCACGGACAATCGATAGTCGACTAACAGTCGATTATCTACTACTAGTCGACACTCGCAATAGGGGTGTTAAAATAGTATCGCAACTTCCCTACTACCAATAAAGTTTACGTGATATCGTAACACATACGTTGAATCACGATTTGTACGAATTTTTTTTATTCGTTTGAAGGTACTCACTTTACAAATTGCCTCCGGTGCCATTGACCACATGACCAATACCGAAATGCGTCTAAATCCTAGATAATATACGCATTGTAGTTGTAGAATTCAATTTATTTCTTGTAAATACTCCGTGTTACAAAATATACACATTGTAGCTTTAAAACAAAAAGCGCTATTATGGAAAGTTTAGCAGAGAATTTACAACTATTTTCTTCAATATCAATAGCAACTGAAAAACATTGAATCGCTTTTATGCCCATTTAGTGTTTGGATAGCTGAAATACTTTTTATTCTCCACTTTCCAGCGTAGTAACTTAGAAAAAAAAAACAAACATGTTTGTACGTAATACATTGCTATTTGCGTAAAAGCGTAGACAAGGATACTTATGAGTAACAACCATACATTGGATTTATATGCAAAAAAAATTGCCATAATATTTAATCAATGTAAGGCATCCATATTGGAATTATGAAAAAAAGGATTTATTCAGTAGAATTTTTTTTTCAAATTTATCGGTTCATAGATAGTTTTTGTTAAGTGAAGTATTTAAAAAATATATTCAAAATACATAAAATAGATTAATATAGAAAGGCCCTAACATTTTTGTTTCTTTACATTGTAGTTATAAAAGTTTATAAAACTTTAAGTTCTTCAGATGCGAGTTTTTCATTAAGCTGGCTTTTAACACAGATCATTCCTTTAACGGAGTAGTTGATTTTAAATTCGATTTAGTCTTCGTGAGTAATCTACACTTTTGTACAGAGCTGAATTTCACAACGAATTGAGTTAGGGCCTTTCTATATTAAGGCAAC